TAGGTAAATAACAATAGTTCCAAATAATAATATATATAAATTCTCAAAATAATCTTAATGCTCAAAACCTCGAAGTGATTTATAGCATAATCATATGAGTTTTATGAACAGCTAAATTTTGCGGATAATGAAATGACTTAATGAGAGGGACTTCAATTAATTAATCCAACATTCAACGACAACACCATTCCAAAAACACTAAAGTTTAAGCTTAGGCAATGTTTCTTATAATATAAGCACCTAAAATTAGGCATAAAATCGTCTACAAAATAACCTAGACAATATAATATAGAAATTAAGAACCAAATTAATACAAATTAAAAATAAAACACATTCCAAAATGAACGAAAGAAGAACAAAGAAATGCAATAAGAATTGAACGTATAGGATCATATTTTCACATAAAATTATGAGCATCCTCTGCAGGGGCGAAACAAAATAGCAAGTAATGTAATTCTTTGCAAAAGAACCCCCGATATTCAATTATGACCCACCCACCAAAAAACGCAACATAGACCACAACCTCCAAATTAGACCCAAATCACATAGTTCAAATGTATTAAGACAATACGAACAATCAGGGTAGACTACAGACCACAATCATTACTCTTATCCTTGGAACACAGTTATGAGAAATTGAAGAATAGTTCAGGTACCTTATAGTATGGATATTGAATCAAGATACGTCACAAGCTTATAAAAGAGAAAACTAGCTTTAAATACATAAGATTAATATATTAGCCATTAGAACTTACCATTTAAGTTTGATATGAGGCATGACGGAGATTTTAGGAGCATATCAATCGCGCTAGTGCCACAAACTAGGACATTTTTTCTTATCTAATTTTAGAGCAGACAGTCCACTCAGATTGTTATCAGTTATATTTGGATGGAAGGTTGTGACAATTAAAATCATATTTTACGGAACAATCATGGCTTGAGTATGTCTACCCCTTTGAAATATTACTCGGACTTTAATACAACGCAAAATTAACTCTATATCGAGTAAATTAACCTGAAACATAATCATATGGTTGGTATGCTCGCAATTGGAAAGTTGCAAAAAAGTTATCAATTCTCTGCATATTTAATTGCATAGTCCATAAAAGGTGAGTCTCTTAGGCATATGACAGTCCCGCTCTCGTGTTCTTGCAACCTCTGAATGGGGATATGACTGATAAAGTTTTACAATTATTGTGATCAATGACTCAGTTCAAACATACTTCGCATGTGGTATATTTAAACAAGAACGAATTAATTTAGTTGGGCGCGGTCATAAGCTCTATTAGAAATGATAAATACGCCTACATGAGGTTTATCTCGCTATATAAATTAAACTATAAGTTGTGTTGATGGAACGTTGATACAGACGATGAATCGCCGAATTGAAAACAAATGTTCAAAGAATAGCAATGAGATAACGTTGATACACTACCTACTTAGATTAAAGAAATATTAAAAGACTACTGCTCAAGTTAGAGAAGAATCCGCGAAGTAGAATTTTTTTCGCATAGATATGGATGTGTGTGAACCTTGTAGGGCATCTTACTTACTCTACTAATAGATCAACTCACACTGCACCAAAATATTTTGCAAGCAACGTTGAGGAGATTTGGAGCACAATCAAGATCACATGGTATTTACCAGTTGATCACTTTAAATGGCTCTAGCTAGAAGTCACATCACAAACTTAGGATTGGAACAATGTAAGTAGAATGAAATACAGAATCTAGCTAGGAGTATTCTTATTGATCTATACATTAAAAAAATCTTTCACGGATCAATATGCCTAATCTGTCAATACTCTATAATTAACTTTTATCCATAAGTTAAAAAGGTGGAGTCTCGATATGATTCTATATTATCCAACGACATAGGCAAAGGACAGCGAAGGATTTACGGAAGTAGAACATTAATGAAGGTAGACGACTATAACAAAAAGCATAAAAATCTTAATCAATAAATTAGGAGGTCTTAAAATATGACACAAACCTCAATTTTATGTATGGTTTTGTTTTTACCCTAGATTTTAATGTTCAAATTTTATTGGAAAGTTATGCACTTTGATCCCTACGCAGTCGACTATTAAGAACATGAGACAGGATACTTAAATTCAGCAAAGAAATTTAAGGAGAGATAATTGTATTATGAGATAATATCTTACATCGAGTATAAGGCCAAAAAAAATTGCAAACAACACACAATGACACAATACAGCAGTCGAACTCACTATTCTCGACATATCAAATTGCAATTGTCAAAAAAGTCACAACAGTGAAATGTCAAAAATAAACGTAAGAAGTTTCGAGTTGAGGGGAATGAGTTTATGGAAAGACACAAAAAACATATAGAGACACAAAAAAAGCAGAATAATATCAAATTGCAACAAATTTCAGACTTGAGATGTTTACACGTTTGAAGTGAGAAGACGATTATTGTCAGTGACGAATAAGGAAACAACACAACAAATTTGAATATACACTGAAGTGCTTGGAAAACTAATCTCACTTCCAATAAAATTATCTATCCTCTTAACATGGCTCGAGAATTATTAAGCCACTCTTCTATTTTTACACCCGCGACTTCAGAAGGTTCATATACATTAGGAACACTAGAAAGTAGACACGATTAATCGATTGCCTTAAGGAAGATTCCTTTTTCCTAGAGATAGTATAGAAAAGCCTCTATACTCTCTCGATGCACAAAGATTTGGTGTATCACTCAACATCGCCCCATACAATGTTGAAAGAAAAAGATATTTCGGAAGGACTTAGAAAAGGTTCTTGGCAACGATGGCTCATTGATTCAACATTATAATTTAATATCTCTCGAAAAAATATTTTTATCATAATTCTTTAAAATATAGGAATATAACTCTAAATTATAGGCCATTAAACTGAAAGTATAAATTCAATACTAACCTCTATGGTTACAAATTGATACCAAAATTGATCATTAATTCTGACACAATAAAAAATAACTCAGAAAATATGAATTAAGAAGATAAGATAACATAGTGTAATCTATCTTTTTATTCATTTAAATTATATATCTCTATCTTACAGTCTAAAATTATAAACATAATTTTCTTATAGAAATGATTATCTATTCTCTTTGATAGAAAATAACATATTTACTTAAAACTATTTATATATAAGCAAATATAACAATCTCTAAATTTCACTTTTTCACAACAGAGGAAATAAAACAAAACACGTAATAAATAAACATTAATATATATAATTATAATCAACTTAAATTATAATATTATAACCAATATCACTTAATATAATTAATAAATTAAATAAGTATGGAAAACTCTGGAGGGCTTTAGACAGACTTGAAAAGACCTTTTGTCATGTGTTGCTACAGTCTTTAAGATTATTTCTTGTTTTTGCTTGCCTAGGCTTTGTTTTGAAGATGCTGGGAATTGTCTCTCAACATATCCATTACCTTTTCATTGGCTTGAAAGTTTTACACAGTGGCAAGGGAATTAGCTAGGATGAAGATTTGAACAACCGAACCTAAAATTTCAAAAAAAATATGTCAAACTATTATTACGTATCTCTAGTATTTATTAAAATTAACTGAAGTTGTCTAGAAAGTTGCAAATTTAATTCTCCATACCCCAAACACCACACCCACACCAAAAAAAACACAAAACACCAAAAAAAAAAAACAAAACCAAAAAAAAAAAAAACCAAAAACATAACAACAACCAAACCACACAAACACCCCCAACCAACCCCAAAACACCAACCTAAAAACCCAAAAACAACACAAACCCAAACCAAAACAAAACCAAACCAAAAACCAAAAAACAAACCCCAACCACACCCCAAAAATCAAAAAAAAAAAGAAACCCAAAAAAAAAAAAACCAACACAAAAAAAAAAAACCACCAAAACACCACAACAAACACACCCTACTACAAACAACAAATTTCCTGTTTCAAATGACCACTAAGCAAGGATAGTTGCACCTAGTTTAACAATATGAGTCTACATGCGTTAAATAATACCTAATGATGGCTTATTTTTTTAATTCTCATTCTCAATATGTTGGATCAATATTAATTATCTCTTCTCCCTTACCTAAATATCTTTATTGCAGATTTGATGGGCCATAAAATTACTAATAATTATACACATTCAGCGGTGAACTTCATCAAATTATATTACTTTCATCTTTTACTACTTTTATAATATATCTCATAGGACCAAAAAAAAAAAACAATTCAACAGTATTACATCCTATTTTTAGGATACTGCATCGGTTTGATGTTGACTTGGAGTGTGCACATTTAAACTCATTGAGTATTTATGTAGCTGCCATAAGGTCTTGGAAAACAGCTAGACGTCGTCTGGCGCCCATCGAAAACACTGAGCTTAGCGTTTAACCACAGAAGCGTCAAATATTTCTGCATTTTCTCTTCAAACAGACATTCCTCAATATATATAAGTATGGAACTATGGAAGGGTTTGACGTGCTTTTGTCATGTGTTGCTAAGTCTTTAGAATTATCTTGTTTTTGCATATGCTAGGCTTGTTTTTGAAGATGCTGGAATTGTTTACTTCATTACCTTTTCATGGCTTGAGTTTACAGTGAAGGGTTAGCTAGGATGAGATTTGACCGAAACTAAATTTCAAAAATATCAACTTTATTACTATTTAGTTTATTAAATTATGAGTTGTTAGAAGTTGAATTTTATTTCTCCTATTCCTTTTATGAACACTAAGCAAGATATGTTTGCACTGTTTAAATTGAGCTCCTGAATTATATACTTGATGGATTATTTTTTTTTTTCTCATTGTTGGATCATATATATATTTTCTACTTCCTAATTCTTTATTGGATTTATGGCCATAAATTATATATTTACACATGCGGTGAACTATCAAATTTTTATTTTCTTTTTCTTTTTTTTATTAGACAAAAAAAAAAAAAAAATTCAAACCAGTTTCATCCTATTTTGGTCGGATCGGTTTGAGTTGATTGGGTGCACATTACTCTTGAGTATTTGTAGCGCTAGGTTTGGAAAACAGCATAGCGTCCGTGGCCGCCATGAAACTGAGCTTGCGTTTACCACCGGCGTCCTTTTCTCCTTTCTCTCAACGCTTCCTCAAATCGTTCTCTTCCTCACTATCTTCTTCTCCTATTGAAGGAGAAGAAGGTGCTCTATCTCCTCAAGAAAGCTTCCTAATCGATAAATTTCACTCTCTAATCAAAGACCACTACCGCAAAAGCCCAAATCTTAGCTATCCGACCGTTCCACCATCTTTCTCCCTTGATTTCTCCCAAATCTCCACCTCCGTCTCCCCTTCCATCGCCCACCGCGTCATCGAGAAATGCGGTGCTGTTCGTCACGGCATCCCTTTCATCCAAACTCTTGCATTCTTCAATTGGGCCACCTCTCAGGATGGATTTGCTCACTCCCCCGAACCTTACAACGAGATGGTCTCTCTCGCTGGTAAGGTCAGGCAATTTGATTTGGCTTGGCGTGTAATCGATACAATGAAAGCTAGAAATGTCGAAATCAGTATCAATACCTTCGCGATTCTCATTCGCCGTTACGTTCGAGCTGGATTGGCTGCAGAGGCAGAACACGCGTTTAATCGAATGGAGGATTATAATTGTAAGACTGATAAGATTGCGTTTTCAATTTTGATTAGTATTTTGTGTAAGAAACGAAGAGCCACTGAAGCTCAGTCAATTTTTGATAGTTTAAAGCATAAGTTTGAGCCTGACGTTATTGTTTACACTGATTTGGTTCGTGGTTGGTGTCGGGCTGGAAATATATCAGAAGCTGAGAGATTGTTTAGGGAAATGAAAATGGCTGGTATTGAGCCTAATGTTTATACATACACCATTGTGATTGATGCTTTATGTAGATGTGGGCAAATTACCCGAGCTCATGATGTTCTTGCAGAGATGCTTGATGTGGGGTGTCAGCCAAATTCAGTAACTTTCAATAATTTGATGAGGGTACATGTTAAAGCTGGTAGAACTGATAAGGTATTGCAAGTGCATAATCAAATGAAGAGATTGGGATGCTCTCCTGATACAATTACATATAATTTTCTTATAGAGACTCATTGTAAGGACGAGAATCTTGAGGAAGCTTTTAAGGTGCTTACTTCTATGGTTAAGAAAGGGTGTAGTCCAGATGCCTCCACTTTCAATACTTTATTAGGGTGCATTGCGAAGTTACGAGATGTGAATGCTGCTCATAGGATGCATGCTAAGATGAAGGAGTTGAAGTGTAAGCCCAATACTGTGACATACAATATCCTAATGCAGATGTTTGTTAATTCAAAATCGACTGATATGGTTCTGAAGCTGAAGAAGGAAATGGATGAGAATAATGTTGAACCTAATGTGAATACTTACCGTGTTTTGATTTCAATGTATTGTGGAATGGGACATTGGAATAATGCATATAAGTTCTTTAAAGAGATGATCGAGGAGAAGCATTTGAGACCGAGTCTGCCTGTTTATGAAACAGTCCTGCAGCAACTAAGGAAAGCAGGACAGTTAAAGAAGCATGAACAATTGGTGGACATTATGGTAGACAGAGGTTTTGTTACTCGTCCTTTGTAGAAGCTATGTCGCTAAATTAGGTCATATTTACTTCTTTTTGTAGCTCTGATATTTCTTGTTAAGATACTCTGTTTATGCTTTATGATTTTTAAGGGAATAAATAGCCTTTGATAGAATGTACTTTTCAATCATGCAGAAAAGGGTTCTATAATTTACTCAACTGGAGCTTGAATAGCTATAAATCATTTGAGTGGGACAACTCTTTCTGAGTACCTGTTTAATTGTTTCATATAAATTGATTGTGTTTTCTGATTACTGCGAGGAAGTCATCAAGAAGACCTTCAGCAACCAGATTGCCTCGAATCGTGTCTAAGGTCCCATTTGTCATACTGTATATACTGATTGAATATTGAAATTGATGATGCTGTGCAACCATATGATAAATTAATTGTATATATTCTGTTGCTAATTGGTTAGTTTGTTGATGACCTTGATAATTCAGCATGAATTGTTTTGTGGAAATAATAATGTCTCTGATTGTTCTCTAGGGCTGTAAAAGAATCGAACGGCTTTGATTTGTTAAGGCCTAGTTTGCAAAGTGCCGGTAAAAAGCTTGAGCTCGGCAAGGTTAGAAAATACTATGCTCAAACTGGATTAATTTAGTAGTAGCTCATTTACGATAGTTAGAACTTGAATTTAGGCTTACTAAAAGCTCAAGTTCAAGGTTGTATTTAAGCTCGTTAAGAGCTTGATAATAGTTATTTCAATATCAATTTCTGTTTTCAATTGCTCAATAATTCGAAATAATAGTTTGATTTATGTTTAGTAATAACACATTACACTAGTGCGTATTAAATGCAATTAAATAGTTCTAGTTCCATTAAATAGTTCTAGTTTCATTAGAAAAAAAAAAAAAATTAATAGTTAAAAATTGAACCCATCAATGTTCCTTGCACCAGCAAATGGCTAATTGTTTGCTGGTGGATTGTCGTGTTGTAAGAAAAAAACGAATTAGGGAAGAAGAAATTTTTTTTATTGAATGTTTTTTCTCAAAATGTTTTTTGTCAGTTTGACTACTTTATTTGATCATATCATCATCATATTTTATCCCGATCGTCATATTGTCAGTAGATTAATTCTATAAAAGGAATAGTATTATTTGGTATAATACTAATTTTAATATTAAATATAATTATAATTAGAAAGGATAATATATTTATTTGAATAATATTCAAATTTTCAACAATTGTAAATTTGAACAATATTAGAAAAAGTATATAATAATATCAAAATATTAGTGAATTAAAATAATGAAAATTATAAAATTATTACAATACTAATGACTTAAGATATTAAAATTGTGATTATAGTCAAGTGATACCTAGTGGGGGGTACGAAATTGTGAATTGAAACCATGATTGGAAGAGCATTGTCGTCGGAGGAATACTTGCAGACATTCCGATATTTAAATTAGGAAGAGAATAACGGAGGATTATAGACACTCCGATATGTAAATTAGGAAGAGAATGATGGAGAATTATGGAGGTAATAGAGATTGACTAAATGTACCTTCAAAATCGGATGTGAGGTCTTTTATAAGAAGTTTAAAGGACTCCTTACATGTTATTATTTAGAAGTACTAGTATTAGTAGTAAACTTGCATTTGACTTTCCAGCGTAGTCTGTATTGATTGAGGAATAGGACTTGCCTCATACCTCAGACAGATGTTAAGCTGTGATTCCTCTGTGTCATCCAGGACTTTGTTGTCTTGTGTTTTGGGCATGGGTCATGTTTATGTGGCAAATTCTACTGCCGTTTGGTGACATATGTCCCCTTCATTAGTATCAAATCTTTAAGTTCGATTAATGAATTGTAAGTGTTGATATACAAGCTTTAATGAGTTTATGAGCCGCAACAGTCTCCAAAGTGAATTGGTTATCATATTGAGGTATGAAAAATAGTACTCCTAAATCGATCTACGGAATTAGCTATTTTAGACTGTTAAACTAGATCGACGCTAGTATTGTATTTTTTGTTTTTTAATAATAACATTGCTTATCCTCACACAAATATGAATCTTTAAGTTCGTGTAAGGATTATAATCAGTATACTTTTCGAAAAAAAAAATACTAAGGTGAACATCTTTGTCACGACCCAAACCGTGGGTCGGACCTGGCACTAGAGCCCAATGTTACGCGGAAGGTTCTGGAAGCCGCCAGAATTCGTGGGAAAGGTCTAGCGAGGCCAAGAAAGAGCTACCAAGTTCAAGAAGCTTTTGGATCCATGAAGGAAACTCCAGCCCACAAGGTATTCAGGTGTATAATCTATAATATTCTAGATTATTCTACACGTGTAAGGTGGATGGTAAAATATCTCTAATATCTCTAAATCTAGAATGATCGGGTAAAATATCTCTAAATCTAGAATGATCGACTAAACCTCTACCACACATTTCTTGTAAAGAATTGTAACCACATGTTAAGGAGGTGGAAATTCCTTTAAATACCTCGCCTCCCCTCATTTGTAAATCGTCCAAGCATTTGAGTAATAAGAGATCTACAACAAAGCTCTTACAAGCTCTCTTGTGTTCTCCTCTCTACTTAGCTTACATTTTAGCTCCAACACGACTCCAATGCTTACTTAGCGCATCTTAAAGTCTCAAGGGTGACTAAGTGCCGCGCAGATAGGTAAAGGAAAAACCTATCTCCATGACAGGTGGTATCAGAGCAGGTTTCATCCTAGGTACCAAACCGTACCAAACCTTTTATCTCAACCTATGGCAAGTGAGGAAGCTCAAGTGGTTGTTACTGAAGAACAACAACCCGAGCAAGCTGAAGCCATTCGAGGCCGTGAGTAGGTGCGTGCTCGGCCTAAGCGGGGGAAGTCAAAGGCACGAACCCCTCCCATGGATCCTGTGGAGCAAAAAATTGTAGCTCTTAGGCGATCTTTGTCCACTCAAGAAGCTATTGTGGGAGAACTCTCCGAACAAATTGACAATATTGTTCAGGAGAACGAAGAGATCACTCAAGCCGCCAAAGGCATGATTACCGAGCTTGGCAAAGCCCTACTAGAGGAGCTTTAAGCCCTTGTTGGTAGAATAAGATGACCAAGGTACGAACATTGACTGAATTTGAAATTAGTGCCCTACGTACTGAAGTAGATGCTATCCGTTTCGAATGTCGGGTGCACCATCGTATAAGTAGTCCTACCTCAACCAGTGTTACCACCGGTGCTTCGGTACCTGGTTTGAAGGTGCCCAAGCCTGTGACGTACAACGGTATGCGTAGCGCCTCGATGGTGGAGAACTTTCTCTTTGGACTTGACCAGTACTTTGAGGCCATGGGGGTATTGGATGATGCTGCCAAGATTGGCAATGCCCCCACGTTCCTCTGGGACGCTGCTCAACTATGGTGGCGAAGGAAGCATGCAGAGTGTCAGAAAGGCATTTGTGCTATCAATAAGTGGGAGCAATTCAAGGCAGAATTGCGGAAGCACTTTGTACCTCACAATGCAGAAAGTGAAGCAAGGGGTAGACTACGCCGTCTACGACAAAGCGGTAGTGGCACAATCAAGACTGTAAATTCCAAAGTGAAGCCAATTGCCGGATTTGCAAATTTGCAAAGGCTGTAACAGTTAAAATTGGTTCATGGTGTGGTAAGCTAGACTTCACCATCGTGCCCATGGACGATTTTGACATAGTATTGGGACTAATATTCTTCCGAAAGGTATGCGCACTCCTTTTCCATTACTCAAGTTCCCTAATTATACTTGAAGGAGAGAAGCCGTGCATTGTCCCATTGAAGTGCATAGAGAAATCACCATCTACGATCTCGGCTATGCAATTTAAGCGAGGCTTAAGCAAAGCTGAAAACTTTATAGCATCAATAAGTAAGGGAACTAAATGAGGGTGAAGAAGTAATAAATCCTAAACAGTCTTTGCCTGAATGTGTGCAAACGGTTTTGGATGAGTACAAGGATGTCATGCCTCTCCAGTTGCCGAAAAAGCTCCCTCCTAGAAGGGAGATTGATCACCAAATTGAACTGGAGCCTGGTGCCAAGCCACCAGCCATGGCTCCTTATCGCATATCTCCTCCGGGGTTGGAAGAACTAAGAAAGCAACTCCAAGACCTCATTGATTCAGGGTACATCCAACCCTCTAAAGCTCCTTATCGAGCCTTGGACAAGATCACTATCAAGAACAAATACCCGATACCCTTGATAGGTGCTTTGATCAATTGGGGAACACAAGATGGTTCTCAAAGTTGGACCTGCGGTTGGGTTACTACCAAGGCTTGATAAGGAGCTTTAGAGGGTTGGATGTACCCTGAATCAATCAGGTCTTGGAGTTGCTTTCTTAGTTCTTCCAACTCCGGAGGAGACATGCGATAAGGAGCCATGGCTGGTGGCTTGGCACCAGGCTCTAGCTCAATTTGGTGATCAATCTCCCTTCTAGGAGGGAGCTTTTTCGGCAACTGGGGAGGCATGACATCCTTGTACTCATCCAAAACCGTTTGCACACATTCAGGCAAAGACTGTTTATTATTACTTCTTCACCTCATTTAGTTCCTCTTATGATGCATATAAAGGCTTTCAGCTTTAACTTAAGCCCGCTTAAATTGCATTAGCGATCGTAGATGGTGATTTCTTATTTGCACTTCAATGGACAATTGCACGGCTTCTCTCCTTCAAGTATTTAATTAGGGAACTTGAAGTAAGGGAAAAGGAGGTGTGCATACCGTTTCGGAAGATCGGTTAGTCCCAATACTTTATGTGAATCGTCCATGGGCACGACGGTGAAGTCTAGCTTTACCGTAACCATGAGCCAATTTTAACTGTTACAACCTTGCAAATCTGGCAATTGCTTCACTTGGAATTGTACAGTCTGTGATTGTGCCACTGCTCTTTGGAATTTACAGTCTTGATTGTGCCACTGCCTCCAATGATATCCAGGCCTAGTCGCTTGGCCTCCTCGATATCAATAAAGTTGTGTGTAGCCCCTATGTCTAGCATGACGCTAGTTGATTTTTCATTAACGGCTACATCGGCATATAGCAGTCCCTTCATCTTGGGGATGTTAGGATTAAGGGTTCTTATTATGGAGCTTAAGTATTGTAGGAATCCCAAGTTGGCTTGGGTTTCTTCTGCCTCTTGCTTTTTATATTCGGCACGCATTGCATTTACTACCTTTTTATTGGGGCAATCTGTTGTCCAATGCGGCCCATCGTAGATGAAGCAAGGTTTCAGAGGTTTGGAATCATACCTCTTGGACGGCTTGTCATATTTTTCGCTAGAAGATTTGGATGAACAGCCCTCCTTGTGACTTTGATCCTTTTTCTGAGTATGCTTCTCTCCCCCACTCTTACCAGGATTGGGCTTCTTATTTTTGATTTGGGTGGAGTAGTCAGTTAGAGTTTCAGCCACGGCAATGGCATCGTTAAGTGTTTGCACGTCACACCGTTCTAACTCTAC